GGACAATAGGTCGCACAGAATTAAATTTACATATTTGGCTGCAAATACAGATAAAACATCCAGCCAAGAAATATTGATACACGTAAAAACGCTGTGTTTAAGTCAAGCTTTTCATTTTATCTTCTTAAAAAATATCTATATAGTTAGCACAGGCGAGAGAAAAGATCTAAAGCAGTATCGTGTATTTATAGGCTCCTCTTAACAAATTGATCCTTTTAACCTATCCAATGAACCAATGACCCAGTAAAAAAGCAAAAAGGCGGGAAAGTTGGTGCGATCCAAGATGGCGGACGAGGTGACACATTGGTGCGCGTCGCGAAATGACATTGACAGAGCACGCGGCTACGCGACACTCATTTACAATGTTCGGGAGATTTTTTCCTGTTTTTTACGGAAAAATCCTTTGCTACTGGTGTATTTTTAAGTTTAGTAGTAACAACATAGCAAACGTTTCTTTTAAAATTATTATTTTTTGGCATTGTTTTTTTATATTAAGTTTAGTATTATTTTTATGTTACTGTTTATTTATTATACAGTAACAGTTAAGTTATCTTTTCTTTTATTACTACAAAAATTTATTCGTTCAGAAATAATTTAGAATATTAAGTTTGATTTTTTTTAATTTTTAGTTCTTTTTTCTTTAAATTTTAATATTATAACAGACCTAGTTTAACACTAACTGCTTATACATATCATTTTCCCAAAAATACAAATTTCATAACATATTATTATACATTAACGATCGATTAATTACACATCGATTTGATGTTTTTATTAATTATTTTGAATAGAATTGATATATGTATATTATCTATATCTCGAACATTTTATGTATAAAAGTATTTTTTTTTCGCTTCCGAAATTATTGAATATGTTTTTGGATGCAACCTATATAGGTTTTAATGAATTATAAATGTTGCAAATATTCGTTAAATTTAGAGTTATTCGCGTTAAATATGAGGAGTACCTTAAACATCGTTTAGGGTACGGCAGCTTTGTACCGTTCAATGAGAAATTCCGACAATTCAGTAAAGCGGAACATTTCTGAGACGTAAAAATACGAAGCCAAAACGAAATAATTGTGGTGAGAGGGACAAGTTGAAGTGAAGGCTTTTTCTCTGAAGATTTTTCAGATAAGCACCTTATTTATTACTATATCCAATAATAATTGTATTTGTTAGACTGTGTAAAAAAATCTAATAGATTGTGTTATTTTACTACTAGTAAATAACTTATAGTAAATATTAATTTAAGAAAAAATATTTAAACGAAGAACACTTTGTAGAAAAGTGTATTTATATTTCGTGTTAACCTTTATTTGTTTGGATCGGATCTTCAATGAGAGTCTATAGGGATGGTAGATTTCTAGAATTATTCGGAAATTATACTAGTAGTTAGTTAATATTTGCTAATAGTCGTTCGTCATATCATGCAAACATATTTAACTTCTACAATATTATGTTCTCGTCTGCCCGCTTCCGCGTTTAACTCGTACCGTGACCTAACAGCGGATAAATTATCCGCTTTCTTGCTTTTGAATTATTGAAATAATCCGTTTGTATGGAGCCGAGTTAATGACCTTTCATAAATAGCTCGCAATAAATTAGAAATGCAGGTAAGAACACCGCTATCGCCCGTTTCCTAATTTAATGAACGAAATTTTTTTCAAAGGTATCTCGCGAATTTCATTTCTCCGTTCGGATTACGAATTGAACTTTTTCTTTTATCAAAAACTTGATGTTTCTATATCGCCTAAAGGCGTTAATACTGTATAAGTATTAAATACAGTTTAAATATTTTAAAGATTACAAATTTCATTCCATACATTAAACGCGTCAAGACATTTTTATGACAAGAGAAGGTAGACAAGCTATGACGTATTTGTTTGAGGGTGAAATATTCCAGCTTTATAACATCTAAGCAAGATGCGCTGTCGGTCTATTTTGGCTTTACTCACGTGCTAATTCATTAAATCTGTATTATCATTGACACCTGTATTTTAATAATGTTTATCCATATTTCTAGATTTGAATGTATATAGTTGTCTACTTGTCTACTCTACTATAAACTCTAGAGTTTTATTACTTTATTTAATTATAAATATTCCTTTTTCTATTAAAGCAAACGTGAATTATCGAGGAACAACAAAATCCCCGAGCATCAAAACCAGAAACACTTGTAGTTACGAGAAAACATTTCCCATGTTTGTCGACAAACAAGACATCATCTTAACAAGTGTCTAATATATAGCATACATTAACCATGTCGCGGATAAACGCGGACACCGGCTCACTGAGGACGGAACTTGTCTCACGATCGTAAATTATGTGGCCACTACACATCGATGATTGCTTTACAAAACCGTTTCGATTTATATCATCTTTCTCATTTCTCATTGTATTGGATTCTCAATGGTTTTTCGTTCTCCGAGGATTACGTTATTGATGTATAGTTTTGAAATAAAAATTATAAAAATGCATAATTCCATACAAAACAATAAAATTATGTATAAACAAGAATGTAATTTAAAAATCGAATTCACGACAATTTAAGCCTTACCGTTAGACATCTTTACTTATAGCTCTTTAGCTATTTGTTTCCACTACTAAAACACAAGTACCCTAAAGGCATAATATGGTACCGACCATGTCTTTGGTTTGTTAGTTTTATGTCCTGTTGGCTTCCTTGTGATCCATGGTTAAAGGATCAAGTGTACAAGGACAATAACCAATAGTAGTCGCGGTCGGAAGTTCATACTCAATTTCAACTTTCACAGAACAAATCTAATTATGTTTCTTGTATCTCCGGGTAACGAAGGATAGGCAAGTAGAGTAGTTACCAACCGCTACATCCATCCACGACCACATACAGACCGGAGGTACCCTAAATGAATTAGGAGCGTGTAATTCGACTGAAACATGCCGAGTTATAAATGAGTCCGCAATCTAGTGGTGTCTAGGATTGCGACTCAGCACCGGCACAAAACCTATTACTTTGATGTGCGCTAGTGATGTCTAACGGTATCGATGATAATTCAATTTCGAGTATCTATGTGTTTAAAGAGCATCGCAAATCACAGGATCACTGTATCGTTGTACTACTTAACTACAACTGAGAATTAAAACATGATTATTTTTTTAAATATTGCACATAATAGCATTATATATACTAATAATTGATTTCAGGTAAAAAACGACACACACGGGACTTGAAGCGGGATCCAAAGCGTTCCGTGCTGTTGCTCTTATATCTTTTTAATTTATACAGTTGAAAATTTTTAGTTATTTTTTTAAATGTACTCGTAAATAGTTATAACCCATTTATCTATAACTTTAAAGCAAAAATTCTTTATCATCGAAATACAACTTTTTTTTCCGTATTAATTAACTAATAACTACACTATGAATTAACATATAGTTTCATCGTATCGGTAATAATGATATAGAAAACATCTATAATTTGAAACATTTTTATAATATTATCGATATAGACACATCTCTAGCGAGGTGAAAAGCCCTTAGCCCAGTTGCACCGCACTATGCCTCTCGTCACACCCTCAACTTCTAATACTTTGCCAAGTAACCACGAAGGCCACTCTATCCTGGACATCATTCGGCATCCTCAGTGACCATGCTAGGGAGAACTACACTTTTAAATTTACACCTTTAGTGCGCACTCGTTATGGACTGTAAAATTGATATACCAATAAAGTCGTATTACTGAAATAAGTAATGAGAAACGGAAATAGTCGCAGATGTTTGAAATTTTGTCTTAGCTTTCAAGAACAAGGTGTCTTTAAAGATTTTTAATAATTATTGCGTATATAGTTAATAGACGGATACATTTTTTATATTAAACTAAATTGATCTAGTCTAATATTAGACGTTGATTTGATTTAACGGATATACATACGGTCTCCCCGTGACCACGGCTGCTGCAAAGCATCCGAAACTTCGGGCCGAAGTTAAAAATCATTTTCAAATAAGTTTAACTAATATATCGCGTTTTAAACCGTTAAAGTGTTTTATTTAAATGTGTACTACTCGCGTAAACTATAGACAGTATTTGGATATACATTACTGAAATTCCTTTCATTTATTTCCGAATATTCAAAGCCAATATAGGTCGACAGCGATTACAGATTTTTTTAAATGTTTTACCTTTTATCAAATTACCTCTGTGCTTGTCTATCCGCCTATATCATAAATAATACTAATTTAATTTATTATATATTTTTCGAAGCTACTGAACTGTTTGTTTTTGTTTAATACTAAAACCGAAAGATATTGTTTCCCTTGATGAGACGTTATTCATCTTGTACACAAAGTTAATAAAGAGGTGTAACTTAACTCGTAAATTCAAGTCGTAATTCCGTAAATAAGTCCCGAAGATACATTGTTTTATAACTGTTTTGAGAGCCTCTCTTTGTTATAATTACGATCCGAGTACACATTACTTAAATACAAAGATATATTACATCTTGAGCATTATAATTATGTTCCTTACGAATACAATTTCTTTAGCACCAGTTAAAACTCAATACACGAAAACGTATATCACATGCATCAATTTTAGTGCATAAGTCATCTCTGTCTAATTTTCTATATTCCTATAGATGTTAATAAATAAAGTGCATACATATTATAACTTCGACTTCATATTTTATTTATTATAATAAAACATACAACTTACACTAGTAGAATAATATAAATACTACATAGTGTAAAACAAAGTCACTTTTTTGTGTGTATGTCTGCTTAAATCTTTAAAAATACGCCGCAAATTTGGACGCGGTTTTTATTTTCATGGTTTTTCTGTATTGGATTTAGTATCAGCATTGCAACCGAGTGAAGCCAGGGCGGGTAGTCTAGTTTAGTAGTCATATATTATCGCTGGTATAAATATATGACTACTAAACTAAATGTATTTTAAAGAAGTTGTTCTCAATTATCCTTAATTCTATTATAATTGTTTTTTTTTTTAATTTTTAAAACTTTTTTTTAAATGCAAAGTGTACTCACCCGTTTGTTATCTCGAAACTTCAACCAGCCACTGATGACACTATTATCCACCTCACAAAAGTCTTCGTCCATCTCTCTTCTCAGAGGTAATGGAGACCCACCAGGACTGTCCACCTCGCGTCTCCTCATAACTGGCGTGCATTGTTGGGACAACCTTCCTTCGTTCACCGCGTCACTTCTGCGTCCCAGAATTGGGGTGTTGTGACTAGAGATTCCGCCTAATATTCCACGCCGATGTGAGAAGGGGCTGTCCCATTGTTTCTTCTTGCATTCTGTATGGAGGCAAAGTGCGTCAAAGTTGGCTAGTTCCACGGATACGCGGGTTTGTAAACCACTCGGGTGGGTTGTGAGAATTGTCTGTTTTGCTATGCTACAGTGGTGATGTTCTTGTCTCTCCATTCTCGCTTTAATGTTTCTGTCATCTGAAAAGAAAAAATAAAGTTTGAATCGTCGAAAGAATAGCTGTTGATTAATAAATAATATTACGTTATATAGAAAACTAGAACATTTAGTTTTTCTAGAACTATATTGACGTCTTAGTTCTTCATAGTTCAACGTATTCATAATTCTCGACGTCTAGTACTATATTGATGTCTTAATTCTAAGAGGTGTATGGGTAACGTGTAACAAACCTAATTAAATATTGTCTTTAATATTAATAAAATAAGATTGAGTCCTTTCTCTAGCAAAGTTATCGTAAATATTTCATTCTTGGAACAGACATATTGTCAAATTCCTTAAACATTTCTAAATACTGGTAATATTAATACTAATTCAATGTGCGGGGGAATTTTTTTTTTTTTTGAAACCAAAAATTTTTTTCTGTGGCCCCCCCCCTTTAAAAAAAAAACCCCCCCGGGGGGGGGGGGGGGGGGGGCCCCCCCCCGGGGGGGGGGGGGTTTTTTTTTTTTTTTTTTACGTTTACCACAGCTATGTAAAATCAGTTGTGTTCTTTACGCGTAAATCTCAATATACTTTTGCGTAGTATAGTTATGGTATATATAATTATTTATTACCCCTCTACATCTTAAGTAGTAATAAACCGCCATAAACGACGCAATCAAGTTTCCCGCCTTCCGAATAAGTTTCATTATAAGTCAATTTGATTCCAAATCACGAACTCTATAGGGTTAAATAATTTTATTAAGTTCAACAGAAGCTTTTTAACATCAATTAGAAACGCGGATGGACTATATACTCGTAGTCCGTCTCGCTTTTGCGCCTTCGCTGAATAATTGCGTACAGGGACGAATTTAAGAGTCAGTTAGCTATCGCAAATTATTTATTTTGTGCATTTCTCTAAACTAATGGAACTTATATCGACTTACTTTTTGTAATTGTTTAGAAATAATATCAAATATCAGACGAATTAAAACAAGAATTATTTTACTGCAACCATGTTTAAATAAAAATGAATTATTAAACTATTTTGTCAAATAATATATGTGTGTATTACGTACATAGACTAATTTATTCCAAGTTAATAAAATTTTACATTAACAGTTTAAAACGCGATTTAGAACGCCGTGATGTAGAACGTCACGGAGAGACTGCTGCTCCGATCGTCGGGCCATAGTTTATAAAAAATTTTATATAAGTTTAACTAATATATATTGCGTTTTAAACCGTTAAAGTGTTTCATTCAAATGTGTACTACTTGTAGAAATAGAGACAGTGTGGAGAAATATTGTAATGTTAACAATTGGGTTATTTGAACCTTTTAATATCTTTGGTTAACACAACTGTCACTATGACGCACGTTCATAGTTATGTTCTATTTATAGCTGATATAGAGTCACGTAACCTACATGTTAAATAAATTTACAAGTAAAATAGTTTTTGAGTCACATATTCTTGCATACGTGCAATCCTCAAAAATTAAGTTAATCCGTCCCTGTTTATAATTCGAAGCACGGTTTTCGCGGGCCAAAGATTGCCGGTCATTCGTTAGGCGGCTTAATCTTAGAAATGGCCTATGGAATGTAATTTTGAAATTCTCATTAAATTATTATGTTGGTTATGGAGCTTGAAATTACGAGGCGACTGGGTACTCGAGTGGATACGCGGAGTAGCCGCTTATTTAGATCTATAATGTACGATGAGATAACGACATAAATATTAAAAAAGAACTTGTATTTTTCTTTCCTTTTTTGTATTATCCTCAGTTTGTAGCGTAAAATTTCTACCGGTAGACAATTAAATATATAATAGTTTACTAGAACTACACTCTAAACTGCTACGAGATGGCGCTAGCGTAGAAGTTTTTACGTTGACATCAGAGACACCTTCTATCTTTAGTCTCCTTGCGACTACGGCTGCTGCAAAGTATCCGAAACTTCGGGCCGTAGTTAAAATAATTTTCAAATAAATTTAAATAATATAAGTAACGCGTATGTAAATAACGAATAAAAGTATAGAATGGGGAATTAAAGCAGCGACTATCGATATTCAATCCTATTTTCATCTCAAGATATTGCCTGTCTAATAGAGATGTATAAATATTAAATAATTTCCCTTTCTTCTTTAAATACTGCGATGTTCGCGTTAAAATTGCGTAAAGAAAAGCAATAATAGCTATTGTTTCCTTCATGTATAATATATTTTCCTTTACCACACGCTTTTGTATGAATGACTGAAGAAGGGCCGTAATTACGGAAATCGTCAAGATAATGACAGTGTCATAGTGACTGTCGTAGTCTTGCGCAGAAGCAGTAAAGTGCATTCATTATTAACGTGGAAATACCATTATTTTAATTGAGCAGAGAAGTAAATTGTATTTGTATTGTTACAAAATAACGATGAAGTTGCATACATTGCTTTGGGTGGTAGGAATATTGAAGTTCACTCCGGATCAAAAAACCCCCCATTTCGTTTCGGTTACAATCTTTGGATTTCCGAATATCCAAAGACAAAATAGGTTGACAGCACATCTTGAGTCGATGTTATATGACTGGACTATTTCATCTAGAACCAAGTTAACCCTATAGTTGTCTCTAATTCTCTATAATAAAAAAAATGTTTTGGATGGGCGCGGGCAGCCACAAAAATATGTTTGTACCACTTTAGTTCTTATCTAATAAATTTTACTAAGTAAAGAGAAGTTGCAAAACTCATTGACACAAGCAGGTAGGACGTTGCCTCTACTAACCACCTGGCAACGATGTAAAGATCTCATGCGCATTACCATGTGAAGACTATACAGGTTAAACCGTTGTACTATACCAAAGATATTTTGAGTAAAGTATTCGTGAAACGTATTCGCCTGGTAATGGCGCAAGGAACGTCATAATTTCCACTGCAGCACGTAATGACCCTGCCGTGAGACAAACTGACAAACAGGCAATCCACCCGCATTATGCTATACATTATTCATGAGGTGCCCACTGATAGCTTCAGGCGATTTCGCTAAATTACCGTCTCCTACGCAGAATGCATCCTTACTATGAAATGAATTGTTAGCGTCGCTTTATTTGCACAATATGTTTTAACTACCGTGAACAGCTTCAATAGTTTATACGACAAATATATATTGGTTGAATTATTAATTAAAAAACAGAGAAGACATCGTAGCCAATCACAAGTTTACACAATTAGAGTTTTACCAACACATTCGCAATCCAAATGTAAGACATGTTTTCGTTTATTACAGACTATCAGAAATGAAAAATACATCTCAATTATATAAATAAAGCGATATCAACTAATAATTATTTTTTCTATAATTTACTAAATTGAAGAACGTTAGTCGTGAATTCGATACTTGCCTGTGCCACGTGGATCGTTAATTTGTGAAAAAAGAGATAAATTACGAATTGAAAAGCAAAACTCATTGAATAAACAATTATGAATGAAAACAATTGCGCACGAATATAATAAGTTAATCTCTGGACTACAAAGCGAGACAAGCGGACTCAATTAACTGTTTATATATATCGACACATCGATGTATCGATGTCCGTAAATATCGAATTTACAGTATCGGATTACAGTGCAATCCACTCTGATGCGGTGCGAATTTTCATCACACATCCTTTATTTGCTGCTGAATGAATAACGAGAACCTATAGTATTATTACTATTAGATTTCGTAGCTGATAGCAGCTGATCGCTTAAATTGCTTTAAAACTATACTATTTAAATTAGCAATATTTAAAACGCAATTTTTTTTATTGAAGAAGCAGATTGACTGAAATGACAATTGTTTTTCGGGCTGTTCGGCCGATGTTAGCGAGACGTAAGAATAAAACACTTTAACGGTTTAAAACGCGATATATATTAGTGAAACTTATTTAAAAATTATTTTTAAATTCGGCCCGACAGATCGGATGCTTTGCAGCAGCCGTGGTCACGGGGAGCCCAATAGCGTACCGTACATTTACACTGCCGACTTGTATGATTTTATTTAAGCCCCCGTTGCCAGTTCGAGAACAAATCGATTCGTGAATGTTTCGCACGATGTTTACTCGAATGCGGTATTTTTGGGTTTGTGTTTTCAAGGAAATGGGTCCGCTCCGTACCTACGTGTGTACCCACAATTACGTTTCGAGTAATTGATTCTCCGGTGCACTACAGATTATATACACCTCACGTATTGTATTGGCAGACCTGGCTTGTATAGCTCAGTTTTCAAGCCTTGTGTAAAGTAAAGTTTGGGTTCTAACCCCCCCCTTTTTATTTATTACGCTTATTCTTTTCATGTTGCCTGGAAGAGATCGGCTAGATACGGGTTTCCGTTACACTTTGTTTCACACATTTTCGTTTTATTTTTTGTAGTCTTTATGTTATGTGTATTCAATAATTAAATATAAACTAAATTCCTTCGTTAATTCACATAAAAACAAATAGGCATTGCTAGTAATTGCAATTTGATATTTTCCAAGCCTCAAAACAAAGAGGTAGATATAAATTTACACGATAAAAAGCCTATAGTTATTATAAAATTTATTATTGCAAACTAACTTCTATGCAGCAGCCGTGGTCACGCATCGAAGCATCCAAAACGTCGGACCGTAGTTAAAAATAATTTTCAAATAAGTTTAACTAAGATATATCGCGTATTAAACCGTTAGTGTTTTATTTAAGTGTGTATTATTCGCGTAAACTACAGACAAATTTAACGTAAAAGAATTTGAAGTACTTACTCTGTCTGTTGTATAGATCGATATTAATAAATGTAATTGTGTTTAATTTATGATACCTAATGTAGAAAATATTAAACTACCTCGCTTGTGTTAGATCGGCCTCTGATAGGGCCTCAGGATATCAGGATTGGGACATTAGTCCCAACGTAGCTGAGTGGACTTTCTTTAGAGACAACTATAGTATTGCATTTTATTTCTCTTTAGTTATATAGTATTATGTATATAATTCTTATATTGTATTTGTGAAATTAGTTTATT